TATGTATGTATGTATGTATATATATAATAATATATATATATAATCTAAACATATACATATAAAATAAACATCTTTACATGTATGAATAAACATATATACACATACATACATACGCACACACAAAATGTGTATTTGTGTGCGTGTGTGTGTGAACATATATACATACATACATACACATACGTACATACACAGAAATATATATACATGCATATATATGTCCGTGAATGTGCGTATCATATAAATATTTATATGTAAAATATATGTATATATATAGACGTATATTCAAATACCTACCTACAAACACACACAGACACTCACACACACATATATATACATATATATAGATATACATAATTGAGCTGACTTTTATGAGTCTGATGCTAGATAGTTAACAGATAGTTGTCAATAATCACCGCGTGATAGATACTTTCTCTGTGCTGTATGTTCCATCAGGACAAATAAACTAAGCCACTAGCTCGAACAGTCTTCCCTCAGTCACCACGTTACAAAGAATTGTAGTCACGATAAGGAAACTGCAATACTCACCACTCTGCCCCTGTCACTACCACCAGTCACCAACAACAAAACCACCGACGTCCAACCCCAATTCACAAAAAGGTCGCACTTCTAAAAATAGCAGCGTTAACGTAAACTAAAGGGATCGAAACTATTTCAAATTAATTCGTCTGAGACAGAAGAGGGAGGACCACGTGGTAAGGCCGAGGTAACCGTCAAAAGATCGAAAGCATGTGCGTGTGTAAGGATGAACGTGCATCAGATGAACGACAAGAACGATTTTTTTCTCTACTGTGAAACCATTTTCCCTGTCTTACAGAACGAAAAAAGATAAGTTCTATGGTAAATAGGGAAGCATACCTTTTATGTGATGATTCCCCATGGGCAGGTAGCAACCTTACCAAAAGCGACACCCCGTAACCACGCCCACAGGGAACACGACGGCGTCTGAGTGGCTCGGGGCCTTCCTTCAAGTACCTCAACAGCCAATAGCACGAGGAGTTTACTCTCTTGGAAAAGTTAATTGGTTCGAGTATCAACAAGACACGCCCCCTTTCACTGCTAGCGATTAACTCCCAGAACATTATGTATAAAAGCGCTTGTCAATCTTGAATCGGGGTTATCGGTAGTGGCGTGCGTGAAGTGGGTGACGCGGTGACCGAAGCAGACAGACATGCAGTGGGTACGGTACCTCATACTCGCGTCGGTGCTCCTGCTGGCGACGGTGGCGGAGGCAGAGCGGAAGAGACCTGGCAAAGCGAGACATTCGGGAAAGGGGAATAGGAAAAATAGAGACTCTGAGATGGAAAGGGAAGCTGAATACCCTAATGAAACAGAGGCAGCAGAGCAGACCTACCATGAGGCTCACCTCCGTCACCATCATCGTCTTCCGGCGCCGTCGCCGCCGTACTGTTGCGATCAGTTGGAAATTCGGAAGAACCTTAGAATAGAGCAGATAAAAGATCGTGTTCTTAGAGCCACGGGCCTGCTAACACCTCCTAACATGACCGGTGTAGTGATATCTCAAAATCCCAACATCCAAGGCATTATCGAATCCATGAATACAACAGAACCGCAACAAGCTTTTATGCAAGAACCACCCTACAATGATGACGAACCGGAAGTCAAAACCGAGAAGATCTTTTCTCCAGTAGAACCAGGTAACAACTACACTTCACAATCAGGTAACTAGGCACTATCCAGTAGTGATTAAATGTGCTGCTGCATCTGAACATACACTGGAATTATGTTATTATTTTACCCTTCCCAACACCACCTTTGTTCTACATTTTACCTGTACCATCCTTATCCCGATTCATTTGCGAAAGTTTAGAGAACATTTTATTATCAACAGCCCACAACTGTTTTGATAATTCTTTAAAATTAGAAAACGTCTGCCAAAGTACTGCCAAATCCCGCACCGAAAGGAAAGAAAATGTATTAATTCGAGTGTATGGCAGTGGTAGCCGATCATGTGACCATGCTTCCGGCTTATATACTTCATTTCACATTTTATATTTTCTTTTTTTCTGCTAGTTTTTGTTTCATTTAGCAAATGACCGCAAAACTGCATCGCTTTTATAAAGTTCACTATGAAGATACTCACACTGTGCAAGTTTCTAACTTGAGCAACGATCGATTTGTGCATTTCATATAAGCTCACTCAGCTTTATGTGCTTATCGATTTGTCCTGAATCATTTTACTTTACTATCTAATTCACTGCGTAATCGATACAGGGGTTGCAGAAAATACTGGTGTATAGTAAGAAACACGACAGTAAAATCAATCATCTAGATGATTTCTGCTTATCATCTGACTATTCTTAGTTATCAGTGATGCAACACAGGCACGCATCTGCAGTTTTGTTCATTCTCATGTTAAACTCACACTGATCCTTCTGCTTTATGCTGCAGCCACTATATTTACATATCCATGTGAGCAGGATACGATGTGCCACCTCCACACTCCACCCACTATCCATGA